TTTATTTAATTTATCTTTTTTATTTTTTTATAATTCATTTCTTTATTGATTAAGGTATCACATATTTGTCGTCAAATCCCCATTCCAATCCCCCCCTCCATTCATGACCCCACCACCCTATAGTCCACTGGTTAGGCTCATATGTATGCACACAAGTCCTTTAGTTGATCTCTCCTTTTTATCCCCACCCTCCCTTTGAGGTCCAACAGTCTGACCCATGGCTCCTTATCTCTGGGTCTGTTCTTGTTCATCAGTCTATGTTGTTCACCATTTCCCCTAGATGAGTGAGATCATTCTTATAAGTGTATTTCCAGTAGGAACCTGGTGTTTTACTCTCAAATTAGAAGTGTGCTTAGATAACTCACTGAACTACCCCCTGTCCTATCCAAATAGGGGAATAGATTCGGAAAGCATTGGTGGGTGAGAGAGAAACCCAAGACAACCTGCTATTCTTTCTTTCTTGGTGGCATGGGTGATGAGTCCATGCTTGGCCACAGCCTCAGAAGCACGGGTGGGAGTAAGAGGACGCTGCATGGACGGTGGACTCTAGAAGACGTGGTCAAATGCCAATACACAGCAAAGGAGCCTGGGATTGTTGAGGCCCGCTGAGAAGGACCGACTTGTTCTTTGTTAGTTGGGAAGACATCTTCTCTGTCCCCCAGTTCCCCCCACTCCTAAGACACCAGATGAACTGGCACCTAGAAGAACCAAGAGCGGACCTACTTGAGAACATGTTGATTTTCTCCCTCCAGCTGCTGGGGCTGCAGAGAGGGCCGTACCCTGCCTGGGAGCTGGCAGAGGAGCAGAGCGCAGCTGGTCATTTAAAACGGGTCATTTTTAAATCTCTGCATTGAAGTCTGATGTAAATACAGACAAGCGCACACATTCTAAGCGAACAGTTGGACACTTTTCACAAAGCAGACACAATCAGCTATACCACCTTCTGAGAGCAAGAGCTTGCATATTATCAGCATGGTCTGCACCAGGTCCTCCCCCAGTCAGCCCCTGCCCCCCTCAGGCACTTTGCAATCCTGACACCCAAGGTGAGTTTGGCCCTGGTATATACTTTATAGAAAGGAATCACAGTGCACATGCTCTTTTGTGCCTGGCTTCCTTCACTCAGTGTTATTTTTTGTGAGAACTCTCTGGCTTGTGCAGAGTACATCTTATGGGACTAATGAATAACAGAGTCACTAGAAATAAGATGCAGATGTGGCCATGGTTCCTGCTTCCTGGGGAATGGGGACGGCACCACAGCCCATGTGGAGGCAAGTTTTACCAATGATGAAGCCATTTCATGTTGACGTCCTAAGTTAATAATGGTGAGTTACCACTGAAATCTTATTTTTATTTTTGAATCAGATACTTGGAGTACCTTTAGGTGACTTTGATTGACTGGCCATTGTTAGAAAAAAGGAATAACAGAAGGCTGTGGGTTTGCTTCTTTCATTGGTCAGGGTGCTGTGTCACCTTCCAGGGGTGAAGAATGTTCTCGAAACCCCGGTGTTCAAGAGCAGTTAGGCTAGAGGGCGACATGTAACATATATGATATATGCTTCATATGGATGATATGGAGATGTATTACAAGAAACCCAAGACTGACCAAGTGAGGATGCATACATTATCTCATTCTCAGTTTATGCAAATTATAAGTAAATGCCCAAGAGATTTAAAAATACTCCACTCACTAACTTTTTTATGTTGTTGTTAATCCTCACCTGATTTCCCCCCATTAATTTTTAGAGATAGTGGAAGGGAAGGAGGGAGGGGGAGAGTGAAGAAGAGAGAGAAACATCAATGTGAGAGAGACACATCAATTGGTTGACTCCCTCATGTACCCCGACGAGGGTGGGGATCGAACCAACCCAGGTAGTTCTCTTGACCAGGAATCAAATCCTAGACCCTTCAGTTCAGGCTGATGCTCTAACCATTGAGTACACAAGCCAGGGCCACTCATTAACTTTTAATTCACTCAGGGACAAGTGGAGATGCAAACAATTGTATCTGGTTTTTTTTCAAAGTAGATTTGAAATATGATTTTTTTATTGATTGCTAGAGAGAGAGGGAGAAAAGAAGGGAGAGAGAAAAAAAAAAAAACATTGACCAGCTGCCTCCTGCATACCCCCTACTGGGATCAAGCCCTCAAGTTGGACATGTGCCCTGACTAGGAATCGAACCCTGATCTCCCGGGTCGATGCTCAACCACTGAGCCATACCTACTGGGCTATTTTTTGTTTTTGTTTTTTATAAAAGCATTACATATATCTGGAGTATGGAAACACTAGTGATTTTATTTATATATAACTATATATATACACACACACACACACACACACACACACACACACACACACACTTTTGTTTTTAAACTAATTTCAAAATGACAGAAAAGTTACAGGTGGTACAAAGAATTCCCACTTCACCCAGAGACCCCACTGATGTTTTCCCAACTGTCCTAACGTCCCTGGTAACAAAGAACTCTAATCCAGGTACACATGTTGCCTTTTGATGTTGCGTCTCATTAGCCTTTTTCAGTTTGGAACAGTCTGTCAGTCCCTCTTTGGACTGGTTACAGGCCAGTTATTTTGTAGACTGTCCCTCAGTTTGAGTTGGTTAATGGTGTTCCTATTAGATTTGGGTTATGCGTTTTGAGCAGGAGTATCACAGAGCTGTGCTGTGTTTTTTTCATTGCATGCCTGCCATGGTACATGATGCTGCTCATTGTGTTCCATCAGATGGAACATGGCCAATTTGTGTCCATCATTTCTGATGTGAACTTCAATCCCCTAGGTCAGTGGTGGGCAAACTCATTAGTCAACAGAGCCAAATATCAACAGCATGACGATTTAAATTTCTTTGGAGAGCCACATTTTTTAAACTTAAACTTCTTCTAACGCCACTTCTTCAACATAGACTCGCCCAGGCCGTGGTATTCTGTGGAAGAGCCACACTCAAGGGGCCAAAGAGCCGCATGTGGCTCTCGAGTTGCAGTTTGCCAACCACAGCCTTAGGTAAAGTGCTTTCCACAATTTTGTTTAACTGTAAAATTACCTCTGTTGCTTTTATAACTGGTAATTATTTTATGGGGAGATAATTTGGAGTCGATTCTATTATTCTACATTTCTGACTTAGAATTTTACTCTAAGAAAGAACTTTCTTGCAATTTATAATATATAATATATTCATATAATAAATTATATAATAATTGGTATAATAAATTAATAATGAGGACTTATATATTCCTATTTTATTAATAGGAATTAAATTATTATTTAATCTCTTAGTATCACTAAATATCATTTAGTATCACTGTTTATTTTGATGCTCATATTGATCCATATTTGGCTAGTGGAAGCCCCTTCAAGCCAGCTTCTGTGTCTTTTTGAATTATCCCATTATTAAGTACTTCCATACTTTCTGGGAAGGTATTTGAGGTCCATCTTACATTTTTCCTGGACCAGCCCTGGAATCAGCCATTTCTCCAAGGAGCCCTATAACATACATCTATAAACACATATATAACACACACACACACACACACACACACACACACGGTCACATTTTCATACCAATTACTACAATTTCAATCCAACCCTATAGAATTCATTCTAGCTTTCCCCCTATTTATACCCTAAAGGATTAAAGAAGATAAAACCTGAGTTTCAAGCTAAGAAGAGAGCTTACTGAACTGTGTAGAGCCCCGATTCTCATCAATTGAAAAAATTTACTTTGTCTCTGAGGCCTCAAATTCACATTCATTCCATTTTTGGTGGGATTGTTTCTGTCAAGGTAGCAGGTATGGGGAAACCGGAATTCTTTTTTTTATTATTCTTTTTTTCTTTATTGATTAAGGTATTACATATGTGTTCTTATCTGCTCATTCCTTCCCCCCTCCCCACACACCCCATCAGGATCACCTAGGAAGATTGATAAGATGGACCCTTTTTGTTAAATCCAAATCTTTATCATCTGCTATTCAGTGTTTGAAGAGCACAATTATAATTTGATGAATACCCAAATTTTGCAAACCAGAATAGGTTTCCTTCTGAAACAGATGATTGATTGCCCTTTGGCATGTTTAACAGAGGGTTACATCTTATTATAAATGCCCATGTAAGTTGGTTAGTCTTGTTTGCTGACTAGCAATAACAAGAGAACTATGTTTCTAAGGCAGTTCTGAAGCTGTTCCCTAGAGCACCGTCTTACCATATATACTTATTAGCAAATTGTTTTGAACACCTATCATCATGAGTATATATTATTGGCCTACTGAGAGACCAGAGCACTCACTGAATACTAGACTACTATACCCTCATTTTATAGATCAGGAAATGGAGGTTCAAATAATTTTAGTAACTTGCCTATTTTGGCGGAGAAAGTGGTCAAGGAAGAGCTTTAACCCAGGCAGTGGGATCCACTGGCCCCATGCTTAGCCATTGCCGTCAAACCCCACCCCCCAACAACGCTGTTTAGGGAAAAACTTATGTCCTCTGAAAAAGGACTTTCTGCATTATGATGATACATATGCTTCATTACCAGAATGAAACAGGGACAATTCCCTAAGGAATTTAGACCAAGACCATTTCCGCTGACCCACTAGAGACTCCTTCACGGTACATGACAAGCTGTTGAGTCTAGAGTAGAGGTAAGGGTGAGAGGCAGGGGAAAGATGAAACTGGGGAAGCTCTATGTCCAGCTTGGTCTTCAATTCACTTTATTTAAAACTACTGATTCAAGCACTAGACTACATCTATTGCTTGTTTAAACTGGTCCCCAACCACAAAAGCCAGAGAGTTTGCGCTCTTCCTCTGCACCCACCGACAAACTAATGGACTATACACGCAGTGGCTTGTCAGCCTGAAAGTGACTGACAAGAGAGCCTGCTGCTTGGTGCAAGCTGTCCTCCTCTTCCTCCTAACCTCCTTTCACAGTGGGTGGGCAGCATGGATGAGCTGTGGGAAGACTCCAGACCTTGACACTGAGTTTGCTTTGTGTTTCAGACTGCTGGGCTGATCGATCCCCACTTCATGAAGCTGCAGCCCAGGGGCGCTTACTGGCCCTTAAAACCTTAATTGCACAGGTAAGTAAACTGTAGACTGGATCCTTTGAGCTTCTGCTAGAAGCAAGCATCCTTCTTTATCAGCTTTGTCTGTAGTGGAGGGCTTGCTTGCTGGGTACCAGCATAGCCATGTCAGGGGTATGTATCCTCTTCTAGCTCACCATTTGTTCATCCTGCCTCTCTATTCTTGGAAAACTGGCTCACTTTCTGCTCAGTTCCATCCTTTCCCTTCTGGGCCTCCTTCTTATCTCATAGGAAGTTTCCCTGCGAAGCTGATGGGAGATGCCCTCCAATTTATGTGGCACTAACTCACCTTAAATTCTCCCATGTCCTTCATGGCAGCAGCCCTGAAGTTGCATTAGTCAGCTACTGCTGTGTAACAAATCACCTCAAAACGTAGGAGCTGGAAACAACAGACACCTAGAGTCTCACAGTTTCTGTTGGCCAAAGAGCAGCAGTTATCTCAGAGCTCAACCAGGGAAGGATCTGTTTCCAAAGTCACTCACCTCATGTGGCTGCTTCAGTTCCTTGCCACATGGGCCTCTTCATGGGATGCCTGCATGATGAGGTGGCAGCCGGCATCCCTCAAAGAGAGCACAAGAGTGTCTAAGGAGGAGGTCCAATGGGAAATCTCATTACTTCCATAGTCTCTTCATTGGATGTGAGTCAGTAAACCAAGCCCACACTCAGGGGATAATGTGAGTGAGCCAGTGCTAGAATCAGGGCTCACTGGGAGCCATCTTAGAGGCTGCCCACCCCAGCAATACACCGCTATTTCAAGAGCAAACATTAAAATAGATTAACAATCGTGTACATCTTATCCTTTGGGAAGAATGATTAAAGTCTTAGTTCTTAAGGCTACTTTATTGATAACTGTATCCCTTGAACAATGAGCAGTGGCCTTGTAAATATTTGCGAAACGAGTGAAAGCGTGTGCGCTCCATTTGCTTTGTTAGTTTTAGCATCTGTGTGTGTACAGAGGAGGCCAGTCATGTAATCTTTCTTCCACATTCTAGCTAACGCCAAATCTGGCTTCCTTACCATTGTGAATTTAAACAGCTGAGCACACTGCTCTGTGTGTGTGTGTGTGTGTGTGTGTGTGCGCGTGCGCATTTGCCTTTTTTCCCTTTCCTTTATAAGTTTTCTCCATTTTTAAGAAAGTAGAGGCAAAAAGCAAACTGCCAGTAATGATCAAATAGGCTTTATACTTTATTTTATCCCTTTCTTGTTTATTTTTAAGTACTTTACATTTTACTTTATTTGATTATTTTTAACATGTAATATATTCACATAGTACAAAAATTAAAATGATATAAGAAAGGTCTACAATAAAAAAAGTTTTACATCTACCTTTTCTCTCAGACTCCCACTTTAATACTTTTATTAGTATTGTTAATAAATGTATTTTTGGATTTATTTATTTATTTATTTACTTTTGCTAATCCTCACCCGAGGATATTTTTTCCATTGATTTTTTTTTTTTAAGAGAGAGAGAGAGAGAGAATGGAAGGGAGGGGTAGAAATACACAGAGAGAAACATTGATGTGAGAGAGGCACATCAATTGATTGTCTCCCGCACATACCCTGACTGGGGCAGGGAATCAAACCTGCAACCAAGGTGTGTGCTCTTAACTGGAATCAAACCCAAAACCCTTCAATCCAAGGGCCCACACTCTAACTGCTGAGCCAAACAGGCTAGCACTAGAATAATGTTTATGAAACATTGTAAAGATAGTGCAGCGAGTTCCCAAATACCCTTCCCTCAACTTTCCCTAGTGCTGACATCTTACATAGCCATGGTACTTTAGTAAAAAAAAAAAAAAAGAAAAGAAAAAGAAATCAACATCGATCCAATGCCATCAGCTAAACCACAGACTATTTGGATTAATACCAGTTTTTTTCCATTAGTATAGATTTTCTCTTCCAGGAGCCAATCCAGGATCCCATGTTGCATTGAGCATGTCTTTATTTTTAACTAGACTTCGTAAGCAGGTTGGTTTCTACAGTGTGCTTAAACATGTTAGGGAGCATTCTTCATAGAGCAGTTCAATTTTTCCTCAATACCCCCCACTTCCTTGCTTTTATTCACTAGCCACAATGCATTACTCTATTTTATGTTACATTAAGATAGTGTGGTGTGCTGTAAAACACTCAACTAAGAATCAGGAGCTCATAGTCACGCCACTGTCACTGCTAGCTGGGGAGCCTCAAGTCTCGCTAATAATGTCAACTTTCTGCTTCTCTGATTTCTCATGCACAGTAAAGGTGATGCACTCTCAATATTCTTTCAGGCCTGCTCAGCATTACATGTCTACGATTTCAGGGATTTTGAGTTTGCACTGATTAGTTTGTTTTTGTTTTTTTTTTCTGGCACATAGCTGCCACCTTGTGGACTAGCCTGTTTTTTCTTTTCTTGAAAACATAATATGGGGAAAGGAAAAGGGACTTTTAAAATTGTTTTCGATACTCAACTTGAAATCTATAGCACAGCTGTGGAGTAATGTTGTCATATTCAGGACATGAAAATGGGCGGGACTAAGGAGGCATAGAAAACCCCTAAGGTGAAGGGATAGACAGTATTGGAAAGGGAGAGGCAGCATCATGGAGGTCTGTCAAGAGGTGGTGAGTAGCTGAAACTGGTTTGGCTCAGTGGATAGGGCATCAGCTTGTGGACTGAAAGGTCCCAGGTTCGATTCTAGTCAAGGGCATGGTCCTTGGTTGCGGGCACATCCCCAGTAGGGGGTGTGCAAGTGGCAGCTGATCGATGATTCTCTCTCACTGATGTTTCTAACTCTCTATCCCTCTCTGTAAAAAATCAATAAAATATATATTTTTAAAAAGAGGTGGTGAGTACTTCACTTGGGGTTTTGGGTTCAGGGTCATGCACCAGGGTTGGGAAGCTTTCAGCAGGTCAGTTAGTTACAAGGCAGAATATCAAAAACAACTCAGCCAGGGACCTAATTCTTTTCACATATAGAAAGTGGTAATCCTGGGGGGAGATGGTAAGGGCCAAGTTACAATCAGGGCATGCAGTCAGAGTTGGGCAGCAGCTGGCTGATCCTGCCCTCTGTCACCTGGACGCCAAGACAAGGAAGGTGAGCATGGCAGTATGGAAGGGTTTGTGTGCTAGGACTGGGCAGATTGCTGGGAGCTGGGTGAGGAGATGGGATAGGACAAACCCTTGGCCCCCAAGCCTGGTACTACAGACTTTCAGACTCAGTGGAGTTGTGGCATGTGAGTCCTGGAAGCACCATCAACTTTACTTTCTAATCTTAAGCAGGGGGTCATCTTTCTGTTTCCAGTCCGATTACAGTACTGTAAGTGTGTTTTCTCTTCCTTATCATTTCCGTAATAACATTTTCTTTTCTCCAGCTTACTTTATCATAAGAATTCAGGATACAATAGATATAACACACAAAGTATGTGTTAATCAGCTATGTTATCAGTTAGGCTTCCGGCCCACAATAGGCTATTAGTAGTTAAATTTTGGGGAGTCAAGTTATAGACAGATTTTTGACTGCATGGGGGTTAGGGTCCTTACTTGCTGCATTGTTTAAGGGTCAACATCTCTCTCTCTCTCTCTCTCTCTCTCTCTCTCTCTCTCTCTCTCTCTCTCTCTCTCTCCTTCTCTTCTCTTTTCTTCTTCTTCTTCTTCTTCTTCTTCTTCTTCTTCTTCTTCTTCTTCTTCTTCTTCTTCTTCTTCTTCTTCTTCTTCTTCTTCTTCTTCTTCTTCTTCTTCTTCTTCTTCTTCTCCCCCCCTCTCTTTTTGCCTCCCTAGCTTGACATTTTTTATGCTTCAAGTCTTAGTTAAATACTACCACATATGTGAAGGTTTCTTTTGCTCTCCAAGCCAGATTCAAGGACATGCCCTGGGCTCCCAATTGAAATATGAACATGCATCCTGTACAGCAATATTTTGCTGCCCCCCCCATTTCTGTTTCCCCACTAGGTTCTTAGGGGAGAGAGATCTGTGTCTAAATACAATGTTGAATTAGCATTAGGTGAATTAATGAATTCAAGGCCCCCACTGCCATATTTAGATTCCTTGGTCATGGCCCTTTCTCCTTTCTATATGATCCTCATAGGCCTGTAGTCGGCAAACTGCCGCTTGTGAGCCACATGTGGCTCTTTGGCCCCTTGAGTGTGGCTCTTCCACAAAATACCACGGCCTGGGCGAGTCTATTTTGAAGAAGTGGTGTTAGAAGAAGTTTGAGTTTAAAAAATGTGGCTCTCAAAAGAAATTTCAATCGTTGTACTGTTGATATTTGGTTCTGTTGACTAAGGAATTTGCCGACCACTGCCATAGGCCAATAAAAACATGTCCAACAACACTGCTTTCATTGCTATTGTTCATGCAACCTTTAACCCACTTCTCTCCACATTTTAGGGTGTCAATGTGAACCTCGTGACAATTAACCGGGTTTCTTCCCTCCACGAGGCATGCCTTGGAGGGCATGTTGCCTGTGCCAAAGCCTTATTGGAAAACGGTGCAAAGGTGCGTAACGCTCCCGCCTCGCAGGTCTGTCTACACAGGTGCAGGCACTGCTGTCTGAGACATGACTTACCATGCTGTGGGTGTGCGGGTCTGGCCCCATCTTTATCTGTATTTCTGCATGGTCATGAAGACACTGCTGCTTGATGCTCTCTCTCTTCAGCCTCTATGTCCATGTGTGAACATTCAGATGTGGTAATTCACAGGAATCTCGAAATTGTTATGTTGCCTTTTAAAAAATAAACTTCAACTAAAGTTATTTGAAAACTGATCTTGGAAATTTTATTGTAAAACACTAGAAAGAACATATTTTTAAAGGACAACAAAGAAACCCACCTTTAATTCAAAGCTCTAAACCATCAACTACTTTTTGAGCAAAATTATTAAACTGAATGAGCTTTTACTAAATAGTACAATGAAAAAAAACCCTACAAAATTAACATTATCTTATTTTTAATGATATAGTTAAACAATATTTTCCTAGTATAGTTGACATTTAATATTATTTTATATTAGTTTTGGGTGTACGCATAGTGGTTAGACATGTATACAATTTATGAAGTGACCCCTCCTTGTTATGCTCAGTGCTAAGGTCTCACAATACCTCATTGTATTGTTCTTGGATTCCCAGAGAAATACGCCAGAGGACTGGCTGTAAAAGTCATGGGTTTATTAGGACTTACTGGTTGAACCAATAAATTCCATCCGGCCTGCGGATGGGCTGCACAGAAGCAGGGGGTGGGGGAGGGAGTTGGGGGCAAAGGAGCTATTGTCTGATCACCACCCAGTACAGAAACCAGAGAAAAATAGGGCATTCAGGGGGAGGGGGATGTTTTTACACACAAGCTGTGTGAGATAAAAACTGCTAGTTGTTTTCTTGACTGAGGAGCTGGCTGGGTGCCCAAGGTCTCACAGTCTACTTACTGATGGCCTTCACTTTGTTTCCCACGGGATGGGAGGGGGAGTTGGAGCATGAGAAGGGGCCCATGTTCCCACTTACCATACACCCCTGACTATCTTATTTTTAAATTCTTTCTTTTTTTTTTTTTCAAGGAGTGACTCGGGTGCTCAACGTATTTAGATACCAGAGTAGAATTATAAAAGAAAACCTTTTGAAAGTCTCAATGACATTTAGTTGCCATAAACTGTTTTCCTGATCATTTTATTTTTAAATGAAAAAAGGGGGGGGGGCTTGCATTCTTTGTTTTTGAATGAGCTGTAATATGTTAAGCGCTTAATGCAGGTTTTCTTTAGATTTTATATGGAAGTTGGGTTTCTATACGTAGAACTGAATATCAGAGTTTTCTGTGGACAAAGTGATTTTCCCGATGCCATAGTGGTTGTATATTTCCATTAGGTAGTGTTTCCTCAAGGTAGTCTTAGTCAACTCACGTGTAATGGCCAAGGCAAGGTTGGGGGCAGGCCATTTCTTTAAGTTGAATGATTGGAGTCACGGACAGATTGTGAGTGGGAAATATCAGACAACATCGGGCCATAGAAAAGCATTTGCTGGTACAATTCTGGGAGGTTCTGTGAATGGCAAAGAAAAGAGTAGGACATGGTCCCTTGCCTTTGGCAATATTATGAGGAAACAGCCAATAAATATTATTTAACATTTAAATCAGAATGACAGATGGGATAAGAGAAAGTTGGTCAATCAGTAAAAAATTCCTCAAAATTATGAGTCCCAAGGGTACCTCAAATTCAGTGCATCTGCAATTGTGCTTATCATATTCTTCCTTTTGGGACTGGTTCCTCCTCTTGGATTCTCAGCCTCAGAGACCAGATGAAACATATTCCTTATTCCCCAGGCTCCAAACCGGGAATCATCCTATTTATTCTATCTCCTCGTTAATTATTCTAATTAATCATAACATCCTGCTAGTTTTACTTCCTAAATATTTCCCAAGTCTATGCTTTTGTTTGTCCTGTTCCTATAGTGGTCTAAAGCATCTATGTTGTATCAAAATGATCACTTTTTGTGTTTGTCTTCTCTTGTAGAATTCAACCTATTCAACAAGAAGCAATTTTCTTATCTTTGTTTCTAAAAACATTGGCACCTAATAAATGCTCAATAACTATTTGCTGACCTGAACTGAAAGAGAAACTTATAGGAAATCTACTTAGAAAACTTCCTGGATTCAGGAAGAGGATAATACTTAGTAAAAACAAATCAAACCAATTCTATTAAATATTTTTAGGAAAAATGTAAATAGGTTTGAAATCCCTAGAATATATAAATTAACACACATGTCTTCCTGTCCTTGCCTGTCTCTGCCATCTTAGCATCTCATCTTTAACTTTCTAATTTAATGGGGTTATCCTGGCTCCTGTGGAAAAATACTTTTGGTTTCTGAAACAAGGAAATTTAGGATCCTGATTATCACAATGCTTAGTTGTTGAGGAGATATGATTTGACACCAAGCCCTTATTGTCCTGCATTTCAATCCTATCAGAGCCTCCCCACCAGAGTGCCTCGTTCCCTTGATATTCTTTCCAATCTATTTCTAATACTCAACGATGGCTCCCAGCCATGCTCATTCCCAACTGCCTCCCACATCCTTAGTAGGCACTGGAGATGGTTGTAAACACTATGTTAATGGATATCTTTGTGCCATTGGCTTGGTCATGATCTCTTTAGGAGTAACTGCTGGCATATATAATTCGTATGGATTATGGTAGTCCAGGAAGGTAATTTGTGGCAAAAAGACAGAGTGTGAGGAGTTGTTGAGGATATTTTTTTTTTTGCAAGCACAGATTTTGAGACCTTAAACTAGTTGATTTCTCTAGTACTTTTGATTTCTGCCACGTTTGTTCATGATTGAGAGGGAAGTCAGCTCCATATTAATGAAAAGTGGATATAATTATTGTTTATTAAATGTTTACTGGGCACCAGGCAATGTTCCAAGTGTTTAACATAGAATAGTTCAATCTGCCCAATAACCTCAAAAGATACATTCTTTTATGATCCCCATTTCATATGTAAAGAAACTTAGGCACAGAAAGTTAGTATCCCAACCAAGATCTCTGAACAAATGAGAGAGAGGGAGGGAGGGAGGGAGGGAGGGAGGGAGGGAGGGAGAGAGAGAGAGAGAGAGAGAGAGAGAGAGAGAGAGAGAGAGAGAACAGTGATTTGAACCAAGCTAATGGTTCCATGGGCCATATAGGACCACTCCTCAATGATTAGGAGGCTCCTAAGAATCTCTAGAATACCCACAAATGCATTTTAAAAGCTTTGTCCATTTCCCCCCATTTGGGATATTATTTATAGAGGTGAGAGTTGATAGGCTAATAGTGCCTAAATAACATAATACTGTAATGTTGTAGAGTTCCCTCACTCATTCACTAGCATGGGCAGTTTCTCCAGGTAGATATAGATATATAGGAATGCAACTTGGAGATGGTAATAGAGAAATAGCAAATCCTCTGGGTCTCTCTTTGCCCATCATTAGGTCAATGCAGTGACGGTTCATGGAGCCACACCCCTTTTCAGTGCTTGCTGTAGTGGCAGTGCTGCATGCGTCAACCTGCTGCTGGAGTTTGGAGCCAAGGCCCAGCTAGAAGTGCACCTGGCTTCCCCCATCCATGAGGCAGTAAAGAGAGGTAAATGAGACATCACATTACACACAGAACATGGGTGGACTCATTCCAGTCTGCATGAATCTGTGGTAAGGATCACCTAGATCTTTACAAGTATACTATGTGTAGTTTAGAAATTCTGCAGCAGTGATTCCAATTGGCCTAAAACTTCATGAAATACCACTGGGCATGAAGCAGCTCTTCTTATAACCAGGGAATGGCTTTATGTCTCAGATGTCCCATTTACTGAGCACAGTCTCTTGACAAATCTTTCTTAAGGCTCTTTGCTGGTGTTTGGTGCAACTGGTAGAGTCAAGACTGCAGAGATGACTTCCATGAGTCATACTGTGGTTATGTCTCTGTCCTTACTAGAAAAGAATAGCCCATAAAATATCAACCACTAACATAAAATAAATTATAAAAGTGTCTGAAAGCCAAGGCTGATAGTCTCTCTAATGGAAGATTAAATGCAATTGTCCACAAAAGGCAATACACTCTAGATGAGCTAATGACTTTAAGGTCCTTAATTACTGAAAAAAAAAGTTGCAACATTAAAAAGCATGACTTTGGAATCCTCGAAGTTGACTCTAGAATCCTGTTTCCTCATTACTTTTGAAATGAGGAGAAAGAATAAAATTAAGGAATTTAAAAGTTTTATGCATAAATTAAACATGAACAAGAAGATGCCATTGAAAGGCCAAGGTCATTTGTCAAAGGTCATACTTAAAGAGCAACATTTCTATTACCCAGTGGTTGAATTATTCTCTTATATTGAGATCAGAAATAAAATGGATACATAGAAGCACACAACAGATTGAGGAATCTCAGAGGGAAGGTGGGGGAGGAAAGAGATTAATCAAAGACTCTATATGCATATTGGCACAGCCTATGAACACAGACAATAATGCCTTAAAGGCACGTGGAGTGGGTGGGAGTGGGGAGGAGGGGTCAATGTGGGGAGGAAAGGGGAGCATCTGTAATACTTTTAATAATAAAGATACATTTAAAAAATAAAAAGATATTATTGTAAAATGAAAAAAAATACAATGGAGAAATTAGAACCCTGTAGAATAGTGACCTTTGCTGGTATAATTTGGGGTGAACGTCTTTCTTTCAAAAGGCAATAGTGAAATATTTGCCCCAATTAATTAAACATGTCATTTGGTAATTCTTTTGGAGTGGATTACTTTAAATGATACAAAAGACCCAATGTCTATTTCAGGGTTATTTATAATAGCCAAGATTTTGAAGCCTCCAAGTGTCCATCAGTAGATGAGTGGATTAAAAAACATCAATATATTTACACAATGGAGTACTATTGTGCTATAGAAAAGAAGGAAATAGTACCCTTTGAGATAGCATAGATGGACATGGAGATCATTATGCTAAGTGGAATAGTCAGAGAAAGACAAGTACCATATGATTTCACTCTATGAAATTTAATGTACAAACTGAAGTACCAAGCAAAATGGATACAGGCTCATAGATAGAGAGCAGGCTGACAGCTGGGTTGGGGAGGTAGAGGGATTGAGTAAAAAAAAAAAAAAGAGAAAAATCTCATAGACATGGACAACAATGTGGTGATTGCTGGGGGTAGGGGAATAGAGGGCGGTTGAGGAGGATATAAGGGGAGTAAATGGTGATGGACAGAGACTTGACTTGTTGTGGTTAGCACACAATACAGTGTACAGATGATGTGGACCTGAAACCTGTATAATTTTGTTAACCAGTGTCACCCCAATAAATGCAATAAAAGACCCAAATCTCAGTGTATCTATGATTTTGATGTACTATATATATTTAATAAACAGTTATTTATTAATAACTGATGATGGCCTTTCACAAACTTTAAGTAAGCTCTTTAAATTGTAGGGAAATAGTCTATTTTGGAAATGATATAAAAATCTTTAAAACTTTAAAAAATTGATTTGAAGTAAAAATTAATCTGTTATTTGAATTTCATCTAAACATTTAAAAATAGATTACTATTGGGAATGATTTGAATTACTTAAATAATTCTGCAGTGCTTAAATGGTTACATATGTTGTGTTTGGTATTTATGTCTCTACATATTTTTTCCTGTATTATAAAAGCATGTTAGAGACTTTCACAGAATGGAAGGATGAATAAAAAGTCCACTATTTTAGAAATTATTACAGTAGTGATAATCATTTTACTTTTATGTACTTTATTCATTTTTAAAAACTTCCTGAGAATACTTAAATTTAACTTGAACTAGGATCAGTTTCTCCTGCAAAAAGGGGATAGAATTATTCAACAATATTTATTAGATATCCTGTATTTACCAGCCAGGTTTAGGTACCGATTAGATATTATTTATAGATTCTTAACAGCTTTAAACCTCTATGAGCAAGCTTGGTCAGTCTGGGACAATACTTTGACATATTGATGTTATCATCCAGGCATAATATTTACTTATATGAAAAAATAAATAGTTTGAAGCCACAGAATCCTTATCTCTATGCTTTTAATGCATATTTATACATAACTCAGGATTTGTGATAAATCAAGCAGGTTTGAGGTGAAACTAATTTTTATGTTATCTGTAAAGAAAAGCTTGGTTCAGTTAATCAGCAATGATAAAAAAAATTTTAAAGGAAATGTTTAAATCTTCACAGAGAAAAAAAAAACACATTTGCTCCTGAAAAAAACAAACAAAAAAACATTTATATGCTACAAATTAACCATGTTTATCAGCTCATTGGGCAAACTCTCTTAGGAGAGTACTTGTACAAAGTTCTTGCTAGTCATTGAATTTGGAAGTACATTTAAATTAATTCTCACAGGTATCTTCCAGGTTAGCCAAAAGAAGGAGCTTTTACTACATGGCGCAATCATACCCAACTTTGCATGCATGGGCCAAGAAGTGAATAAGAGGTTTGTAATGGAGAGGGATCAGGGCTTGGTCTTGGATTGGAGCCCTGGCTTTTCAGGGTAATAATAGGATAAGTCATTTACCCCTCTGGGTCTTGTAGTCTCTATTTGTAAACTGCTGGCTTCACTCCAGAGGAATTCAGCTCTGCTCCTTGGTTTAGTTGGACCTACCTCAAAGGCTGCAAAGAGGAATTAAATGGGGGAAACAGAGTCATGCTTCCCTTTCTAATAGTTTAGTTTTGGAGGTTTCTAAGATCTTCAAAATTCTTTCTGCTTAAAGAAAGCCCATTCCAAATAAACAATCCTTTAATTCTGCAAATAGTCAATATATGTATATATATTTTTTACTTGAGTTAGGTTTATCTTCTATTCCACCAGGTCATAGAGAGTGCATGGAGATTCTGCTGGCGAATAACGTGAATATTGATCAGGAAGTGCCTCAACTTGGAACTCCCCTGTATGTGGCCTGCACCCACCAAAGGGTAGATTGTGTGAAGAAACTTCTAGAATTAGGTAACTTCCAGAAATCTTGTCACGAAAAGAACCTTTTAACCTTGTTGGTTTCCCATGAACTTCCAAGACAAAATTCTTGTCAGGCTGGACAAAATCTGGCAGCATTTGATGTTTGCATGCTGAAAAGAGAATTTCTCCAGAGAACGAGTATCTGTGTTCTTTAGTTCTGCTTCCTCTGATATTTGTTTAATTGGTATGGGTCTCCTTGGTGGTCTCAAGAGAGTACAAGAGTCTTTTCCCCATTAAAGTCCCAGGGGGAAAAGCAATTGTATTTCATTGGCTCTTTATGAGTCACATACTCTTGTCTGAACCAATCATGACAACATTTATTGGCTTAGCCCTAGATTTCAGTCTACACTGCCACTGCTGGGCTTCATTTGTAACACATGAACTAGGAATCATGAGGATGGTTCCCCAGGGGAAATCTGAGTGTGGTTACCATGAAGATTCTGGATAGTAAAAACAACAGACATATGCCACAGACTATGTCTGATCACTCCTGCTTATTTAGTGATTTGTAAAAAATATGTTTATTGATTTTTTTTAGAGAGAGAAGAAGGGGGAGGGAGGGATGAGGGAAGGAGCAGGGGAGAGAGAGAGAGAGAAGAGAGAGAGAGAGAGAGAGAGAGAGAGAGAGAGAGAGAGAGAGAGAGAGAGAGAGAGAGAGAGAAACATTGATAGATCAGTTGCCTTCCCTTTTCGCCCTGACTGGTGATCTATCAGTTGCCTTCCCTTTTCACCAACTGAGCCACCTGACTGAGGCAGTGATATTTTTAAATCTAAAAGGCATGTGCAGAAACTGAGAGTCTAGGGAAAAGTAAAATGTCTTGAAACTATTATTTGTTTAAAGATTTCCCAAACTTAGCCATTGACACAAAGGTGGAACTTGTAGTAAAAGGCTTTAAATAAGAATTTTTCTCCCCAAAATTTTTCATGTTTTCTTTTTATCTGCTATCATATACTACTCCCTATGGTAGTTCAGAAATATTATTTGTGAATTCTGAATAATATAATTACTAGATAAATTTAGCTTTGTTCTCTGCCAAAAAGAAAAGAATCACATGTAAAAGGAGCTTCAAATATTTAATTTTGTATGCCACAAAGTTCATATGGGAGAGCAAGTAAAGTATTTTAAATGACAAATATTTTTTATTCACTTTTATCATCAAAATATTTTAAAATACATTTTATTGATTTCAGAGAGGAAGAGAGAAATAGAAACATCAATGATGAGAGAGAATCATTGATTAGCTGCCTCCTACACACCCCCTACTGGGAATCAAGCCACAACCTGGGCACTGGGAATTTAACCATGACCTCCTACTTCATAAGTTGACATTCAACCATTGAGCCACACTGTCTGGGCTCTTCAAAATATTCTGTAAGAGTCTTAATAGGCATTGCTGAGGTTCTAGGCTTATGTCACATTTTCAAATATTTGTGAAACAGTCATGGCATTTAAAATGGCTTTATCTATACAGCTACTATATTTTAGGCTCATTGTGTTTCTACATTTGACATTTATTGTTGAATCATAGCTGTCTGCTTTGTTAAGGAGCCAATGTTGACCATGGCCAATGGCTGGACACCCCTCTGCATGCCGCAGCGAAGCAGTCCAGTGTGGAAGTCATCCGCCTGCTGATAGACTACGGGGCTAACCTGAAGTGCAGGAATGCTCAGGGGAAAAGTGCACTTGATCTGGCGGCCCCGAAAAGCAGAGTGGAGCAGGTGCTTCTGCTCTGGGAAGGTAAGGAATGGCTGGGTGTCCATTTCTCTTCCTTAAGTGCATCTCTCTCTCTCCTTTCTATCTCGTCTCTAGGCTTTCTTACCTTTTTCCTCTTCTCTTTTTAATTGGATGTGACATGTAGGTGCAAAGTCCTAGCATCAATGAGGTGGGATTTTATATGCTGTATGAATTCACTTATAACCAAAGAGATTTACACACAACTGATATGTTGTTTTGTATTTTCCATAGCAAGAAACTGCTTATCTATCTATCTATCTATCTATCTATCTATCTATCTATCTATCTATCTATCTATATCTATATCTAGAGAGAGAAACATTGATCTGTTGCCTTCCATGTATATGTGCCCTGACTGGGATGTAACCTACAATCCAGGTATGTGCCCTGACTGGGAATCAAGGCAGCTACCTTTCAGTGCTCCAGAGGATGCTCCAACCAACTGAGCCACTCTGGCTAGACTAAAGACATCTTTATTGATAGAGTCAGGTTACAAAGTACTGGGACATTACAAATGCCCCTGTATTTAATAACTAGTATTCCAGTTCAAAGCTCATTCATCATACTCAACCATATTTTGGACTCTCATTAGTTTAATTGCCCTTAGAACTCAGAGCTGCTTAATGTCATAGACATGATGACTCCATGAGACTCCATGAGACTCCATGAGACAAAGGTTCAGGTTATAATGGGGTCTTAATGAGTTGGGTCCTTTCTCCTGATCTTCTATTGAGCTGAGATCCTTGTGAAAATGGGGGACCCTCCAAATGTGAATCAGGACACATGCAGCACCACCTTCTGGGAAGCTAGAGCCAGACAATACAGAAGTACCCTTAGTTCAGACCCCCTGATACTGCATCTGTGACCATATAGGCTGGGCTTCCTGCTGACATCCTCTTGGCTGTTTTCCCTTGCTCTGCAGTTCTGTCTCAGGATCTTTAATGCCTAGTGCTTCTATTTGCATTTTCTCTTCAGCTCATATCCATTAGCACATGTGGTACATGAATATAGCAAATTCCCTTTAGACCATATGCCTCATTTCTAACTTGCCTCTGGTTAGCCTAATTTTTTATTATTATTGTTCAAAGTATTACGTATGCCTCCTTTTTCCCTATCCACCCCTTCCTGGCCACTCCCACCCCCAGGACAAGCCCCCACTGGCCCAGTGTCCCTGTCCATTGGTTATGCTAATATACATGCATACAAGTCCTTTGGTTGATCTCTTACTCCCTCTCCCCTGCCTTCCTCTGAGGTTGAGATGGTTTGTTCACTGATTCTTTGTCTCTGGATCTATTTTTGTTCATCAGGTTATGCTGATCACTCTGCTGGCTTATTTCGCTTAGCATAATGCTCTCCAGGTCCATCCATGCTGTTGAAAATGGTAAAAGTTCCTTCTTTTTTATAGCAGCATAGTATTCCATTGTGTAGATGTACCACAGTTTTGTTTTTTTTAATCCACTCATCTGCTTATGGGCACTTAGGCTGTTTCCAAATCTTAGCTATTGTAAATTGTGCTGCTATGAATATAGGAGTGCATATATCCTTTCTGACGGATGTTTCTGATTTCTTGGAATATATTCCTAGAAATAGAATTACTGGGTCAAATGGGAGTTCCATTTTTAACTTTTTGAGTAAAGTCCATACTGTTTTCCACAGTGGCTGTACTGGTCTGCATTCCTACCAGCAGTGCATAAGGGTTCCTATTTCTCCACCAGCACTTGTTGATTTGTTGCTGATAACCATTCTGATAGGTGTGAGGTAATACCTCATTGTTGTTTTAATTTGCATCTCTCTGATGATTAGTGACTTTGAGCATTTTTTTTCATATGTCTCTTGGCCATCTGTATGTCCTCTTTAGAAAAATTTCTATATATGTCTTTTACCCATTTTTTATTGGATTGTTTAATCTTCCTTTTGTTAAGTTGTATGAGCTCCCTGTAGATTTTGGAGATTAAACCCTTATTGGAGATAACATTGGCAAATATGTTTTCCCATTCAGTGGGCTCTCTTGTTTTGTTGATGGTCTCTTTTGCTGTGCAGGGATCTTTTTTTATTCCAGATGAATTTTTGGAGAGTTTGTTCTAGGTCTTTGAAATATGCCATTGGTGTTTTAGTGGGGATTTCATTGGATCTATAGATTGCTTTGGGTAGTATGAACATTTTAATTATGTTGATTCTACTAATCTATGAACATGATATATTCTTCTATTTGTTTATGTCTTCCTCTAGCTCTTTTTTTCAGTGTCTGTAGTTTTCTGAGTACAAGTCTTTTACCTCCTTAGTTAAGTTTATTCATAGGTATCTTAATTTTTTTTGTTGCAATGGTAAAGGGATTTTTTTTTTTTTAGTTTCTCTTTATTTGAGTTCATTATTGGTGTAGAAAAAAAAAAGGCGTAGGTTTCTGGGTGTTAAATTTGTACATTGCCAAATTCATCTATTAAGTCCAGTAGCTTTTTGACTGAGTCTTTAGGGTTTTTTATGTACAATATCATATCATCTGTGAATAAGGACAGTTTTACTTCTTCTTTTCCAATTTGGATGCCTTTCATTTATTCTTCTTGTCTGATTGCAATGGCTAACACTTCCAAGTACTGTGTCCAATAGGAGTGGTGAAAGTGGGCATCCCTGTCTTGATCCTGTTCTTAGAGGAAATGGTTTTAGTTTTTGTCCATTGAGTATGATGTTGGCTGTTGGTTTCTCATATTAGTTAGCCTCATTCTTAAATATCAGTAATATAATTATCATAGGAGGTTCAACTTAAAGAAACATGACCCTGTCTAAGGGGAAAAAACGGAATCCTGGGTGTATTGAGTGTTTGCACATCACTTTCTAATTCCTATGCAGATACAGCTTCTCTTAATCTTTTAGAAAGTTTCAGCCTCTTTGAGTCTTCTGGTCTCCCCTTCACTCAACCCTGGCCATACTAGCACAAAGTTCAAACCATTTTAATTTCTTCTCTAGGCCCACCTGCTCTTTCCCAGCTCTGTCGCCTGTGTGTCCGAAAGTGCTTGGGTCGAGCGTGTCATCAAAGCATCCACAAGCTACATCTACCGGAGCCACTGCAAAGATTCCTCCTCTACCAGTAGTCCCAACTCTCCATGGAAGGTCTTGGAAATAATCAGGTAGTTGCCTGCTGTACGCAGGATACTTAGTGTAGATGCCCAACAGCTAACCTCTCAGTGTCTTCAAATGAGTTAAGCCAGTTAGAGTAAGTCCCTGATGAATCAGAAACACGTAGGGAGTGGAAAGTCGTGGTTAGTTTAATGTTCTCATTAATCAAGGGGCAATCAGAAACCTTTCATTTTTACCACTTGTTGTAGACACTTAAAAAAAAAACACCTATGAAGTAGAATAAAAATAGTAAGCTAATTTTGAAGTCTCATGATCTACATTTATCTAAGGGTCAACATTCTGAGTATCATGTAAATACATGTAAATCAGGTTGAATAAGATTGTGATGAATGTGAAAATTATAAAATGTGTTCCTCTTGATTTAGTCCCTCCCTCTTTCCCCCTTTCTTTCCTTCTATGAATAAATCTCTGCTATAATTTTGATTTTCTTGCCTCTTTAAATTTATTGGGGTGACATTGGTTAATAAAATTATATAGTTTTCAGGTGTATAATTCTAGGATACATTATATGTATATGCATTGTGTCCCCATCACTCAAAAATCAAATTTTCTTCCATCACCATATATTTGACCCCCTTAATCCTTTATGACCACTTGCCCTCTTCCCTCTGGTAATCACCATACTGTTATCTGTGACTATGAGTTCTTGTGTAGTGGTTAGCATAGTTGCCTTCCTTGCCTTTTTTTTTTTTTTTTTTTTTAACAAATAAAAAAGAGGAATACTTTAAAAACACAGCAGTTATCAAGGCTCCCAGTTTTGGAGCTCCTGGTTGGTAAGAGAGTTGTTGGAATATATTAGCTCACCTGGAGGTTGGGGGTCTGTTTCCCATCACTTTTGATTCTGTTATGTGAGATAGACAGTTCTAGGATCCAGCAACACCAAGTGTTCCCACTACCGGAACCCACAGGCACGAGTTGATGCATGTTTCAACCTAAGCTTCCATCAGCGTATTTTCAAGACCAAGAGTACCAGGGTTTTTGAAATAATTACAGGTTGATGCCAGTCACCAAGATTTGTGGGTCAATATTATTTCTATAAGTAGGGGCCTAAAATAAACAAAAATACTGAGAAACAGCTTTCCTCTTCCCCTTTTTCTTCTTATCCCTCTCCTTTTTTCCTCTTCCCAACCTCTTCCCCTCATCCCTTTTGTGAATTTAAAACATGAAAATTGGCTAGACTTTAATTATTGTAAGTACTCCTATTATGGTTCAGTGACTATAGTAATATTAGCTTCTAAATAGAAAAAAATTCTCTTTGATGATCCTAAGATTTTTCCCAAACATGTCTTTTCCCCCAATTTTTCTAGACCACTGATTCTCAACTGGGGACAATTTGCCCTACTTTTACCCAGTCTCAGGGACATTTGGCAAAGTCTGGAGACATTTTTGGTTGTAACATCTGGGGGAGGGATGCGACTGACATCTAGTGGATAGAGGCTGGAGATGCAGCTGATCATCCTACCAGGCACAGGACAGCTCTCCACAGCGGAGAATTAATCAGGCCCAAAAAGTCAGCAGTGCTGAGGTTGAGAAGCACTGCTCTACACACATGCTATTCACTTCAGAAGCCATTAGCTACATGTGCCTACTAAGCAGTTGGAATGTAGCTAGGCTGAAGTGAGAAGTGCTGCGAGTGTAAAATACATACCATGTTTTGAAGATTCAGTAGAAATGAAAAGAATGTGAAATATCTTATTAAAGATTTTGACCTTGATTACACATTGAAATAATATTTTGAATATGTTAGCTTAAATAAAATTCATCATTAAAATTATTTCCACTTATTTTTATTTTTTAAATGTGACTACAATAAAAATTTAACTTAACATGTCATTAGCATCATATTTCTGTTAGTACTGTTCTGGACCATTTTCCTCATTTTGATGACTTTGGAATATGAAGTAAGTTAATCTTGATTACTATTTGGGGAAATATTAAATTCTTACTTTACATCATACTTCAAAAACAAATCTCATTTTTTTAAATGTTAAAAAATTAAAAATGATGCTATGAAATACTAGAATAAGATGTTCATGAATATGCATGAAAAGGATGGTCTTTTCTAAGCATACTATCAGACAAAGAAACTTTAAAGGAAAATACTGATAAATTAAAATACATATTAGCCCCAGTCACTGAGTTACCAGTCAAAGGCTCAGCACCTTGAGCCCCCTCGCTTTCTGATGTTCTGTCCCAGACACCTGCCTTCTCCCTCAGCAGCCTTCCAAAAGTGAAGGTCAGCCACTTCCACAAAGGAAAAGGAATCCTATTTTAGAATTTTATTATATTGTATTTTATTTATTTATTTATTTTCTGTTCTCAGTTTATTACATGAAGGAATTACGCTAGTCCAAGTTAAAAGCAGAATCCAAATTCTTACACTTTACAAGCTGAGGTCTTAAACTTGTGACAATGGACAGAAAGGAAATTCTCCTCATTGCAAGGAAATCCTCACTTTAGCTTCAGTGAGCCAAAAGCACTTAAAACCCATGAACCTTCAGCTGGTTATCCTTAATTTTTTAATATAGGATAAAAATTCACTATCCACAACCTCCACTCTTTTGACCCTTTTCTGATGCAAGTAAGGGTAATTATCTGCTTCCTGCTGGAACTGAGGATCAATTATATCCATACTAGAAGCCCTGTGCATGAAATTTATGCCCAGGTAGGGTCCCTAGGCCTGGCTGGCGATCAGGACCAACTTATGGGGCGACTGGTGGGGTGATCAGGGGTCCCCCGCTGGCACCCACTTTGGCCAGCCTGGCACTTCCTGCTTACTGACCCCACAACCTCTGCCAGTCACCTTCCTCTGCAGGAGGTGACTGTCAGGGCAATTGCTGCCCAGCCCTGCCCTCCAGTCACTCTGCTGCTGCGATTGGGGAAGGCCTCCTGCTGACACCTGCCTTGGCTGGCCTGGGGCCTGTGGGCTGGGGGCAGCTCCTGCTTTGAGCGTCTGCCCCCTGGTGGTCAGTGCACATCATACTTACTGACTGGTCATTCTGCTGTTCAGTTGATTTGCATATTAGGCTTTTACTATATAGGATAAGAATTCAACAGAGGAGCAGCAGGGAGACCCTTACTGCTGTCCAAAGGATTGCTGCGGCTGATGATGATAAAAAGAATCTAGTGAAGGCTTTTAAGAAGAAATTTGCCTGCAATGGTGTATTTGAACATCCAGAATATATGGAGAAATAATTTAGTACAGGGTGACCGCCACAAGAACAAATTCTGTTCCTCATAGAGACTAGACTGGCTAAGGATAACCAGCTGAAGGTTCATGGATTTTAAATGCTTTGGGCTCACTGAAGCCAAAGTGAGGATTTCCTTGCAATGAGGAGAATTTCCTTTCTGTCCATTGTCACAAGTTTAAGACCTCAACTTATAAAGTGTAAGCATTTGGATTCTGCTTTTAACTTGGACTAGCGTAATTCCTTCATGTAATAAACTGAGAACAGAAAATAAATAAATAAATAAATAAATAAATAAATAAATAAATAAAATACATATCATAGAACATTCAGCAGTTAGAGGCTTTGTACCTTCAAAGTGTTATCCCGAGGGCATTTTTTATTTTATTTTATTTTTTTTTAGTCAACCTGTTTCTTGCTGAATGTGTTAAGTCCCAAAGTGTCGTAGGATATTCAGTCTATCTGTGACCCCAAGGAACTACAGAATTCTTCTGTTCCATCCACTTCCTGAATCTGCAGACCACGGATCTCACAAATCATGTGTATGGACCTCCCACCTCTGGTAGGTGTGTGTGTGTCTGTCTGTGTGTCTCTGTGTGTGGAGTGGGATACTCCAATCCTGAACTGGGTCTCAAGAGACCACTTACCAGAACTGATTCTCTGGTTCCAGAAATATGTGGAAGCAGAACAGGTCCCAGTGCCTATTTCTCATTGTGCTGCAGTCAGTGTTTTGTGATTTATGAATTTAGAGATTGGTCAGAAGGCAGCCTTTAATTTCACTTTGAAACCTACATCCATCAAGCTAGAATTAGAGCATCAGAGAAATCACCTGGTTTATGTGAGGTTATATGGCTTTCTTTGGGGGATTCTAACACGATAGAGATTATTTCATTTTTCACAGGATGTGGAATGTTTTATTTCACAAATGATGCACTTTTTTTTTTTTTTTTTACAATTTCAATCATATTTGAAGTGCTATAGGCTAACTTCTCGAGTCATCCAACACGTTTTTACTCAGCATCTATTATATGCCAGACACTCTTTGAAGCTATGAAAAGGATAGCTTATGTGTTAGTAGAGGCAACAGGAAATAAGCAACATGTACATAAATATCATTTCAGAACTGATAAGAAAAATAAAGCATATTGAGGTCAAGAGTAATAGGGAGAACTACTATTTTTAGATATGGTAATTAGGCAAAGACCCTGGTGAGGTAACTTCATTTAAAAAGAACTATTCACGTATATATCTAATATTAATTAATTAATTTTTACTATTAAATTTTTAGTGACTTTTTTCAGTACATCATGGTATTGTTTTATTTTTTGTTTCTTTGCCTGATTTAATATAGCAATCCTATTATGAAAGTATTTTTTATTTCTGCTTTTCCAACAAACCATATTGCAATGATTTTCTAAGTTTCAAATCCTTTGAACTATCCTTTTAAATGGTTGTATCATTATTTTTTTTTTTTTAGCTATTTCCATATTGCTGGATACTTACATTATTTTTAATTTCTTGCTATTATAAATGACAGTAGCACGAACTTTGTACTTTTTAAAGAAATGTTTTTAAATGTTTTAAGTATTGTAACTGAAAATGTGAGTTCAGCTGGCCACAATGAGAGCCAACCTCATAAGATAGGTGCTGGTACACAAAACGATGGACTCCTGTCTCAAAGGCCATTTCCCCTTCCTGCTCAAGGCTGCTACAGGGATAGGGAGGGGAGAGTTTTTTTTTCCTATCCAATCATCTTTCTAGCTTTT